AAAGAGTCTGTAAAAAATATTTTACTTGAATAATGTCCCTGCTGTAGAAGAAGCTCTCCATCATGATAGGCATAAAATGGCAATTCCGTTTTTAAGCACATTGTTAATGGGGGTCTGCCTATGGAGCGTCGGGACGGGGGGGTAATGAAAGTTTGATAATTAATGCTGATAATAATAATATGGCGGTATCTTAACATATTTTAATGCCATAAAAATAAATTATATTATATTGCTCGTTATGAAAACACACACATACATATATACACCAATATAAGATTTCGGTTGTAGACAAGTAAATAAATTGTTGAAAACAGTCAGTGGGTATTCAAAAACAAATATATTTAAAAAGGGATACAGGAGTTGAGAATGTCTTTGGGAGCAATACGTATTTTCGTCAACATTTTTGTAAGACAATATTGGCCAGAATTGTTCTTGCAAATTTTTGCTGATTATTGAACAGATAGCACGCTAAATGAGAAGATGATTTGTATATTAAAGCTATAAGTCTCAGGTTCTATTAGAATTAAAACCCTTTGCCTGAAAATTGTCATTATAGCTGCATATTTTGACATCTCGGCCCGATCTATTCTGATGTAAGATATTTTCATTATTTTAGAGAAGGAGCTATAATCATATCTAATCGAGTTCAGAGAGTGTAAAGGATTATGGATTCAGGGGATAGAAAAACCCCTACAGAATATATTTGAGCATGCAGGTCATTAGACGAGTCTAATTTTCAAAGCGAAGTTGCGGAAATTTGGTATTTCGTTGTTTCATAACCTACTCCAAGAAAATTATTAATTTTCGTTACTACGAACCTCCTTACCTCATTTATCTATAATATGTCAACACAGATTCTTAGTCTCCTGCCAGAATATTTTCGGGGTAAGCCTACAGGGTTGCCCATATTCGACGTACCCATGTTAAAAAAAAATCAAAGAAAAAAATTAAAATTTGGCGGTTGGCAATGTTAACCATTTAATTTGTTCCAAGTAGATTTGTTTACATCAATTTTTGAATATGATATCTCTCAAATGGCCGCCTCTGGCGTTGATGACGTATTGTGCCCTTTTTGCTGCATTTTTTTTATCGTTTTTGCAAACTTTTCGACCGGAATAGCGGCTATTTCTTTACAAATGTTGTCCTTGAGATCTTCTACGGTCCTTGGCTTGTTAACGTAAACCTTTGACTTTAAATATCCCCACAAGAAGAAGTCAGGCGGCGTCAAATCGGGCGAACGCGGTGGCCAGTCCAAATCACCACTTTTCGACATCAAACGGCCCGGAAACAAATTCTTCAGAAAATCGATTGTTATGCGACTTGTGTGCGGTGGAGCGCCATCTTGTTGAAACCAGAACTGCCTCATACGCTTTCGACGAATAATTGGCATCACAAATTGGTCATCATGTCGCGATAATGCTCCTGATTGATGGTAACAGCATGGCCATTTTCATTTTGGAAGAAAAACGGTCCAATGACCGTTTTCGCACTAACGCCGCACCAAACTGTGACTTTTTCGTCATGAAGAGGCACTTCTTGAATCACCTGAGGATTTTCAGTGGCGTAAAAACGGCAGTTTTGCTTATTTTTGGTCCCATTCAATGTGAAATGGGCTTCATCGGACATGATAATTTTGTTCCAAAATTGCTCGTCATCTTCGGCCATTTCGATGACACTTTGGGCCCATTCCAATCGACGAGGCTTGTCCGCAGGCAACGTTCTTTGCGTCAATTGAATTTTGTACGGCGTTTTTGGGATGTTCTTGGGGACCTCTCAACACTGGCTCGTACGGCAGCGATATTCTCGGCCGATCGCCTTGGTCGACTTTTATATGGCCTCTTCGGATTAGAAAGAGCCTTACCAGTCGAAAATTTTTCGTATAAATGCTTAATGGTGTTCTTAGAAGGCGCACTTCTCACATTTTAATGTTTTAAAAGCACGTTGAGTTTTCACAATTGACTTCTTCTGTTGAATGTAAATTTCAACTATTTCAGAGCGTGGCGTGTATTGGTTCATGGTAAAAATCTGCTTGGACTGACGCTTCAAACGCGGTATGTCATTAAGCGATGTGACATCTCTGTCAAAAGTTATGGCATTGTCAGATGGGTCCGTCGAATATGGGCAACCCTGTATGTTGACATATAGAGACCTTGTTCGATTTTCCGATGTATCTGTAATTGGTAATTTCGTTTTCTGAGAGAATAAAACAACTCCTGATAGATTTTCGATGTTTTGGTAGACATGGAGCGTACAAAAAGCATCCCGTCCCCATATCGGAGTTCAACAGTTTTTAGGTATTTTTATGGTCTTAGCCACATTGTACACCCAAAGTAACTGTAATTTGGCGTTAAGGTTTTTAAGAGAACAATAATTCTTCTGCAAAAAAAATCCCGTGCCGGTCCATGTATTGTATGTAAGGTTTTCGATCGATTTTGGTTATATTGAAGATACCAGCCACATTTTCACATCAAAGTGATAACGATTTTGCATTTCGGGTTCTAATAGCATGAACAATTTTCGGCAATCCGTTCAATTATACCTGTATTTTTACCTGTATTTTTCATCCGAAGTGTGTGGAATTTCACCTTTTAGGGTCTAATGGTTTTCAATTACTCCTCGGAAAAAATGTCGAATATAGAAACATCTTTTCACATCGTCCCAGACTAAAAAATATTCCAAAATATATGCGCGTTTAGTCCTGCATTTGTATACCATCAGCCTTATGGCTAATAAGGTATATACACTTTGCTACGACAAAAAAGTGCCTCATCGAAAAATTGGTGTTAGACCCCATGTTTCTTTTGACCCAAATCCGTTTCAGAAAATTTGGAGTCGATTTACAAATGTTAGCCTGGCTGGTGGGCACGATAACTCTTAAAGGGAATAATTGATTTCATCCAAGCATCTTACTATTTTTCCCAAATCGAAATTAAGGGGATATCAGCCCACTCCCTCTGAAGATACTTATTTTAAAACCAGTAAGGAAAGTAGTAAAGTCGGACGGGCCGACTATATGATACCCTTCACCACTTTGGGTATATTAAGCAGATGAATCTTAACAGACGTCGCATTTTTGATTTTCACGAAACTTAACACACATCATTGTAGACTTTATTCAGTACGCTGTACCAAATTTCGTGGAAATCGAAAGGTATATAGGGACTTTGGTACACCATTTTCGTTAAATCGGACGAAAATATATATGGGAGATATATCTAAATTTTACCCGATTTTCAGGAAACTTAACACACACCATTCTAGACCCAATTCATTCTGCTGTGCCAAATTTCGTGCAAATCAAAAGATATTTACGGACTTTGGTGCACCATTTACCTTAAATCGGACGAAATTATATATGGGAGCTATATCTAAATCTGAGCCGATTTTTATGAAACTTTGCACACATCATTCTAGGCTTAAGTAAGTACGCTGTGCCAAATTTCGTGCAAATCGAAAGATATATAGTGACTTTGGTGCACCATCTACCTTAAATCGGACGAAAATATATATGGGAGCTATATCGAAATCTGAACCGATATTTCCCAATTTCAATAGGGTTCGTCCTTGGGCCAAATAAGTGACGTATGCCAAATTTCATCCAATTCGGATAATAAATGCGACCTGTACTTTGTTGACAATTTAACATGAACAGACAGACGGACGGACGGACATGCATAAATCGACTTAAAAAGTGATTCTATGCATATTCTCAAAAGGAACCATGTCTCTATCTCGTTTCCTTGTGCCTGTTACAAACATATGCACAAAGACATAATACCCTGTACCACAGTGGGGCGAAGGGTATAAAAATCAAGATTATAGCATATATATATATATATATCAGGGACGTACGCAGGGGGCGCCTCCCCCCCCCCTTCCGAAATAAATTTTTTCACAGTAAATTTATGTTTGCAGCAGCGATTTTTTTCATTTTCTACTACCAGTATTGGTATTTAGGGATATCATTATATAGCACATCCTTGTACTAAAAACTACTAATATTGACCCAAGTTATGAGGGAAGCCCCATATAACGGTACCTCCACATCTCCATACTAAAAACTATTAACATTGATCCAAGTCGATAGTTTGGACACGTTTTTGAACCGGTTTGCTTGTAATTTGGTATTATGAATTATCATTCAAATCTCACTACCAATATCGATCCCCGTTTTGGTATAGTCCCATATAACGGTAGCACCACTATTAGGCATTTTGAGATTTTAAATCATATTTTTTTCATAACAGAAGTATTCTCAGATATTTTGCATAGCATTCTCATGGTAGAGGGTATAAAAAGTTCGGTTGAGCCGAATTTAACATAGTTTTTACTTGGGTTTAATTACCTTGTATAGCTCTAATAGCCCTGAACAGCTCTGAAAGTCCAGAATAAAATCCATAAACACTCATCCTTATGAAAGTGAATTCCTAAAAACAGATGTAACACACCGAAGAATCCACAATTCGAGAATTTCTTCGACCGATTGGATATGGCAGGGATTCTAACGATTTACTGAGAACATATATTGTGTCTAATATATTTTGCTCCATGTGCTACAGTTTAAGCCATGCCATATAATATATATTCTCCTTTGTCTCAATAAATAACACTTCACTTGAATACCTCCCATAAATATATAATTGAATGACATTTCAAAGTCAATAAAAAGTCAAACCAAAATGGACTAGATATTATGCGGTTATATGTATGTAGCGATGTTTGAGATTCAAGGGTACACTGTAATGAACTCAAATGGGATATGGAGCATTATTGTAAAAACTTACACACTCACACACACACAGACACATTTACAATTCTAGTACTCAAGGGTATATGTATAACTTATATTTAACTTATGACAACTGTTCAAGTCCATATCTATATAATTTTATGCGAGTACATGTGTATGTATTCTGTATAGTGCCCTTCATTATGTTCTCCCCCCATATATGTATTTTTTCTGATTTGTTGTTTCTTTTTTCTTGTCTCTCTCTTTACAGAATCATAACGAATTATTTTGTAGTCTCCTTAGCCATGGCTGATATTATGGTCGCCATAATGGCCATGACATTTAACTTTAGTGTACAAGTAACGGGACGGTAAGTACAACACCTATAGCAAAACGAATGGACGAATTTATAAACATGCATACACTTACACAACACATAAATGCATGTATGAATTCACTCATAGCTGCAAATACACAAGAACACACAATCAAACACTGTCTTACATGGATTCATTCATTCATTTAGCCAACCATTCATTCATTTGGATGTTCCATTGGATGTTCGTAGACGACATAAGGCTCAAAAGCTTGGTTGCTGTTGCACATGGGCTTGTTTTTTTTTTAGTTTTGTTCCTAGTTGACATCCGGCGTAAATGGAGGTTCCAAGCACCAAACAAACTGCATAAAAATGTAAAAACAAAAAAAAAAAAAACCTTACAGAAAAATTGTCATGAATGCATAAAAGCAAAACATGAAAAAAAGAAAAAAAAACGAATAGAGGACAAACATGAAAATTTATGAATAGGAAGGACACAGAACAGAAACAAAAAAAAAAAACAACTACAACAAATAAACGAATGCCATTATGTAATGTCATGTGTTAGTGATATCTTCACTTTGTCATTAAAGTGTAATAGAGGACAACAAGTGTAATAGAGGACAACAAATTTATGTATTTAAAATAAATATTATTCTTTTTAAATTCAAATAAAAAAAATATTCAAAACCATAAGCCAAAATTCCAAAGACAATCTTTACAAAAATAAAAATCCCATTTGTTCATCTCTTCCAATTTAATGCCCTATATAACACATATACCTTATGAGTATGCAAATTTTGGGCTTAAACATATTCTTTAAAATTTACATATGTTCCAGATATGCCTTATTTTATTTAAAAAAGAAACAGCAGCAACAAAAAAAAAAATGAAAATTTCCACACTTACATGTCGTCGTTCGTCTACCATCCAGACATAATTCCAAAGAAAACTCAATTGGGTTACACAAGATGCAACAATTGAAGGTAGAAATAAATCTTGTGAGGGTAGAGAGCTACCCTCTAAAGATTTTCTTTTTTATTTTCGTTTTTGCCTAGCAACGACCTTTACAACCTACATACGTTTTAATTAGGCCACAAATATGAAGAGCAAGAAGATGCTGATGATTTTTTAAAGTAACATTGGTTGGGTTTCTGTGGCTTCTTTTAATTAACCGCTAATGTATCAAAGACGAAGGAAAAAAAAGAAAAATAATCAACCTTTAAATTGTGCTCAAGGTAATAAAGAGGGATTTGTGAAAGATTTATTTTTTTTTTAGATTGCACACACACACATGTATAAGGTTAATTAGACTGTAAGAAAATACTGATAATCTGTAAGAAAATACTGATATTTAGTATTTGTTGTGGAAGTGGTGAGCGTTCCCAAAAAAAAAAAAAAAAAAAAACAGTAAGGAAAGTAGTAAAGTCGGACGGGGCCGACTATATGATACCCGTCACCACTTTGGGTATATTTTACATATGTATCCGAAAAGACGTCGCTGTACTGTTTACAATTTAATCTCAATCAGACACCCATTGAATATTTGGCGTACAATTAACATAAATAAGTCGAAATTATATATGGAAGCTAAGTTATATCTATATCTGAACCGATTTCAAGCAAACCTGCCAGAGATCCATGCCATACCCAAACGAACTATGGTATGGATCCTTAGTGTACAATTTGCTTAAAACCATCGCGTCATTCTAGACTTAATTTAGTACGCTATGCCAATATTCTTGCTAATCAAAAGATTTGCAGGGACTTTGGTGCACCATTTACCTAAAATCGGGCGAAACTATATATGGAAGCTATATCTAAATATGAACCGATTTTCACGAAACTTAGCACGAAACTTAGGGACTTTGGTACACCATTTACCTTAAAACGGACGAACCTACATATGGGCGCTATATCAAAATCTGAACCGATTTTCACGAAAATTTGCACACATCATTCTAGGCCTAATTCAGTAGGCTATACCAAATTTCGTGCAAATCGAAAGGTATATATGGACTTTGTTACACCATTTACCTAAAATCGGGCGATACTATATATAGGAGCTATATCTAAATCTGAACCGATTTTCACGTAACTTGGCACAAGTCATTCTAGACTTAATTCAATACGCTATGCCAAAATTCGTTTAAATTAAATCATTTTCAGGGACTTTGGTGCACCATTTACCTAAAATCGGCCGCAACTATATATGGGAGCTATATCTAAATCTGAACCAATTTTCACGAAACTTAGCACACATCATTCTAGACCTTATTCAGTAGGCTATACCAAATTTCGTGCAAATCGATAGATATGTAGGGACTTTGGTACACCATTTACCCAAAATTGGGCGTTACTATATATGGGAGCTATATCTAAATCTTAACCGATTTTCTCGAAACTTGGCACAAGATATTCTAGACTTAATTCAATACGCTATGCCAAAATTCGTGCAAATCGAATCATTTTCAGGGACTATGGTGCACCATTTACCTAAAATCGGCCGAAACTATATATGGTAGCTATATCTAAATCTGAACCGATTTTCATGAAATTTTACACACATCATTCTAGACTCATTCAAGTACGCAATGCCAAATTTCGTGCAAATCGAAGGACATATAGGGACTTTGGTACACCATTTACATTAAATCGGGCGAAACTATATATGGGAGCTATATCTAAATCTGAGCCGATTTTCCCCAATTTCAATAGGGTTCGTCCTTGGGCCAAATAAGTGAACTGTGCCAAATTTCATCCAAATCGGATCATAAATGCGACCTGTACTTTGTTAACAAAAATACATGGACAGACGGACGGACATGCGTAAATCGACTCAGAAAGTATTCTATGCATATTCTCAAAAGGAACCATGGGTCTATCTCGATTCCTTTTGCCTGTTACAAACATATGCACAAAGACATAATACCCTGTACCACAGTGTGGTGAAGGGTATAAAAATCAAACAATCGTATGGATAGGTAACCACATTTTGTTATCTATAAAATATGTAAATCCACGCATATAAACCTCTTAAATTTTTTCAAATTAATTAAGCGTTTCAAATTCAATTAAATTCGAATTTAGATGCAGGTTCTGAATCCGAAAATATTATTTTAATAGTATGAACAAGTAAAGGAGATCCGGATCTAACGGCATTTGACTTACATGAGTAGAAACTTGAGACATTTTCTTATTGGGATTTTCTATCTTATTTACAATATCGAAAAAAGTCGAAAAATCATAAATTAGCCCTCGGCCTGTGACACTTATCCTGACTATTGTATGCTATTTTTGGTTTTTGGAGGTCTTCGAAATCATTATCTAATATTGAAGTGGAGCAATTTGTATACCCTACTCATTTTGGTTTGGCCTCAATATTTTATAAAGCCTACATTTAACTATATCGATCATATCACTCTCTAGCTGAGTCGAATTTTGCTTGTAAGTCCTGTTTCGGTCAAAGACGCATAATTTTGACCCGAACATTACGAAATTTTTCACGACGAAGGGCATCAGGCCAAGGAATAAGTTGGAAGTTGGAAATATTAGGTTGGGGAAAAAGAAATCCATTATTCAATCTATTGATGTCATATTCCTACATAATTTAATATTACAATACAATGTAATGCCGGAATGTAAGTATCGCGAAATTTACCAGACTTGGAATTTAGTAGGTAAAAATTGAATTGCATTTGTGTAGGGTATCATAAGGTCGACCCGCCCGGTTATGGTAATCAGTTCACTGGTTTTTAAATGTCTGTTTTTTTTAATCATTTTCAAAACTTGGTTAGTGTGGAAAGTAATAGCTATGACGAATTTATATAATTGATAATTGGGTAAGGGGTAGTATTAATACTAAGGTCTGCCAAGTTTAGGTCACACGGATTCTTTTTATACCATCAGTCTTATGGCTATATACACTTCGATATGGCAAAAATATGCCTCAGAATATTGGTTTTAGACTCCAAGCTTCTTTGGACCAATTCTATTTAGACTATTTGAAGTCTATTTGCAAAATATCCGTCCGTCTGGTTGGTGCGCACGATAACTCTCGAGGGGAGTAACCAATTTCATCCAAACTTTGCACATCGCAATATTTCTTGTAAACTTAAATCAAGTTCGAAGATAGGGAAAATCGGTCCACTCCTTCTGGTATCTCCCAAACAAAATAGTCAAAACTTTCCTGGACATTTATTATACCCTACACAACTATGTTGTCAGGGTATTAGGGTAGCTTTATGCAGCCCGAAATATTGGTCCTAGACCCACCTTTAAGTATTTGCAAATCGTCATATCTCGACTAGCTGAGTCGATCTAGACATGTGTGTCCGTCCGTCTGTCCATTATAATTTGTAAACACGATACAGGCCACAGTTATGGACCCATCTACATATACCACACTATTGCAAGAGGTTCCGGTTATAGTCAAAGACGGTGCCTATCATTTTCGACGATGATCAGATGGACCAATGATCCGTTGAAGACCCCAATAGAAAAGGACCAAAAATTTTATTTTTGTCTGTTTTTCTGGTCGATCTAAAGGCTACGATTATGACCCGATCATCACGAAATGTTACGCAGAGAAAGAGGTCTGAATAAGTTTGACTCATTATTGAGCGGGTCTAATTTGTTATTCTAAGGCGTACATATTTTTTTCTTGAAGGACATAGACTCGAGATTTTAAATTTTAAGCGATGGATCCCATCTGAGGACTTGACATACACTTGGAAAAATATTAAAATACGCACAGTTTGCATCGATTTATATTGGATTTAATTACTATGTGGGGAAGGTCTCAGAAGGGGCGCACCGATAGTTCATAAATTTTCCAAATTTTAAACCTTTATTGAAGAAAGTACTAAAATGAGTAAACCCATTTTCAAAAACTTGTTTAAGATATTAGATTGGGAACCCTACAACAGTTCTACTTTGTGTGTTTTTTTTTTTATTCTTTTTTTTTTTTTTTGTTTTTGGTGGAGGAGAAATGAGGGAGAAGAGAGAGTAGGCCGATATTTCCCATCTTCGAGCATAATCTAAATTTGGTAGAA